TTGCCCTATTTAAAGAAGAGGCGGAGTAGTTGAGGAAAGGCGAAAGGATTGGGGCGAGACCCTCTCCCTTCCGCCATTCAATGCGGATGGGAAACGATGGGACGCGCCCTGATTGATGGGACGCACCTAGCCTGACGGAACAACGCCTGGTCAGACGGGACGTGGCCTGGGTATGGCACACCACTACCACATGTCGGGCGCGAGAACCAAAGCGCCACCATGCACATGTGCCCCTTCGCCTTCCCAGGTGGGACTTGGAAAGGCCCAACCATGGGATCTCCACCCAGGAGAGACCATTGGGCTTCCTAAGTCGATTGGACGGCTCAGGCAAACACCGAGAGACAGGTAAGGAGCATGCCGACTCCGTCACGAACGACGAGCGTGGATCCCGGTCGGACATTTCTAATTAGAGCTCCTCAAACCCCATCACTTGAGTCATCAAGGTAACATTACCAACCACCACTATTTCTTTATATAATCATTCATACATCTATACACGCATTCATTCATTCCATACATCCAAGGCATCGCATATGCGGTTAAATGCATCACAACGCTCCGTGTTGCGTCACAAAGCGGCAGTTGCCTCATTCAACATGAGCAATGACCGACCGGGGTTCGAAGGCCGGCCCACAAAGGGCTCAAGGCCACCTCGTGTCAAATAGAGCCAGGGGAGAAAACATAGATGAGCCCCGAGCGGCCCTTGCCCAGTCTGCCCCGAAGCAGCCAGAGTTTTCTCAACCTTCTCGTTCGATGCTAACCTCTGCTAAACCCACAGAATCCCCATCGAGGGGAGGCCAGCGGGCCACCCAGGTCGGTCTTCAGAATGACCCAGACATCTACCGGGTTGTAGGTTAAGGAGTAGTGGAATGTCACATGAGGGCTATGCTGACCCCATCACGAACAATGGACCTGGATTTCACTCGATCATAGCCGTTAGCGAGCTCACCGAGCATGTCACTCGAGCCCAAGCCATCAAGGCAAGAAACATTAGCTCAGCCCATCCGGTTGTGAGAAACCATGGATGGGGCAACGCACAAAACTCAACCGACCCCTACCAAGCTCAACAGGGCTCAGGGGCTCAAGACACCTAAACTGCCTTGGCTACGTCCGATGCTAGGATCCGCGAGCTCCGTCTCGCCCGATCCCTAAAACTGCCTCGGCCGCGCCCGACGCATGCGCCCGACGCCAGGATCCACGAGCTCTGTCTCGCCCGATCCCTCAAACTACCTCGGCCGCGCCCAACGCGTGCGCCCGACGCCAGGATCCGCGAGCTCCGTCTCGCCCGATCCCAAAAACTGCCTCGGCCACGCCCGACGCGTGCGCCCGATGCTAGGATCCATGAGCTCTGTCTCGTCCGATCCCAAAAAATCACCTCGGTCGTGCCCGACGTGTGCGCCCGACGCCAGGATCCGCGAGCTCTGTCTCGCCCAATCCCTAAAATTGCCTCGGCTCCGCCCGACGCGTGCGCCCGATGCCAGGATCTGTGAGCTCCATCTCGCCCGATCCTTAAAACTACCTCAGTTGCGCCCGACGCTAGGATCTGCGAGCTCTGTCTCACCCGATCCTAAAACTACCTCATTGCGCCGACACATGCGCCGACGCCGGGATTCGTGAGCTCCGTCTCGCCGATCCCTAAAGCGCCCTCATTGTGCCGACGCCGAGATCCACGAGCTCGTCTCGCGCCGATCCTAAAGCGCCTCATTGCGCTGACGCGCCAGATCCACGAGCTCGTCTCCACGATCCCTAAAGCGCGCCTCATTGCGCGCCGACGCCTTGAGATCCGTGAGCCGTCTCGCCCAATCCCTAAAAAGCGCCTCATTGCGCCCAACATATGCGCTCGGCGCTAAGATCCATGACTCCGTCTCGCACGATCCCTAAAGCGCCTCGGCTACGTCGTCAAGCGCGTGCGCTCGACGCTAGGATCTGTGAGCTTGCGTCTTGCCCAATCCTAAAAATCGCCGGTGTGCGCCGACGCTTGAGATCCACGAGCTCCATCTCACCTAATCCCTAAACTACCTCGGCTGCGCCCGACACGTGCGCCCGACGCTAGGATCCACGAGCTCCGTCTTGCTCGATCCCTATACTTCCTCGGCTACGCCCGACGCGTGCGCCCGACGCGAGGATCCACGAGCTCCGTCTCACCCGATCCTTGAAAACTACCTCGATCCCTAAACTACCCGCTGACAAAACCCTAAGGCGATTCAGCCCGAATCACCCGGGGGCTTGGGGGCTACACCCACGGGTGCGCTCACGCGCACCCGCTGATGAAACAAAAACCTCCCCCGCGGCAAACACGAAAAACCCCTAGATGATTCTACCCGAATCACCGAGGGCTACACCAGCGGGTGCGCTCGTGCGCACCCACCATCAAGACAAAAATCCCCCAAGTGATTCTACCTGAATCGCTCGGGGGCTCCTATCGGGTTCATAAACCCAGTGTCCCTCATGGACCGGCTTTCCAACAAAGGCTCGACCCAGCAGACGACGTTGCGAACGACACCAAAACTCCTGGGTTGGCCCAAATACCTGATCAAAAGGCCAGAAGGGCAATCCAATCTCTGACCGGAAGGCCTCGCTAAAAAGGAACAACGCTCGCTTCTGACTCCAGCCCGTCTCTCCGACCGGAAGACCTGGACAAACACCACTTCCGACTCTAACCCGCTTCTCCGACCGAGAATGCGCTGAACCCCTGCTTACAGCTCCTCTCCAACTGACGTAATCAGAGCCGACTGGGACCAACCGACCGAGGACGCCCGCTCGATAAGGACCAGGAAATGGACGGAGAAAGTAAGGTAGGGCACTCAAGTCGACCGCAATACCGAGGACCGTACCTTATACACCTGTAGGACAGTACCAATAGGGCATGTCAGAAGGGTACCCTATAACCTTCTTGGCATGTCAAAGCCCAAGTAGTGTTGTGGGCGCTGATATTTGGCCTACAGTGTTGTGGGCGTCATCAACTCCCATACCAGACAAACACGGTAAGGCTCCCCCCACATGCCTCTGGGCATCAACAGTGTTATGGGCGCCGGCCTTTACCCTCCTAGGTGAGCATGGTAAAAACCTTGCATGCCTCTGGGCATCAACAGTATGGCAGGCACCGACGTCTGCCATACCGGAAAAAGACAATGCAACCTCCCACATGCATCTGACATAAACAATATTATGGCGTCTACAATCATCCTATACCCGACGGCGTGGGCAACAAGACTTAGCATACGCACACACACACACACTCTCTCTCTCTCTTGTAAGGTCATCCCCTTCATTTATAAAAGGGGATGCGCTCTCTCAAAAAAAGGGAGACCGATCGATTTAGTACACAACAACAGAACCACCAGGTTCAAACCTCGAGCACACGCTCGAACACTTAGCACATAGCGGAGCTCTCATCACTTTCGGTCCCTCAGACCAGAGTCCGACCGGACCTCTTGTACCCCTCATATTTCTTCTTCTCGTTTGTAACCCCACTGCAAACTTCGAGCACCTGGGCTCAGGAATAAAGTCACCGACCGACTTAAACTGGACGTAGAGCACGTTGTCTGAACCAGTATAAACCCTATGTCATATAGTGCTAGGCCATCACAACGTACGGTAAAACTACAAATATTTATGTGTTGATCACTTTCTGCACCAACAGGTGAATTAGTCATTGCATTTTTTAGATGTAGAAAAAATTTCATGCTCATTGGATCATATATGACAGAGTTATATATTTATCTATTAATTTATCTTGGTTTATATAGATAAAACTATAACTCAGCCATGCATGATCCAATGAGCATAAAATTTTTGCTACATCTCAAGAATTCAACGATTAGTCCACCATAAAAATTTCATTATAATTGGACCACAGAAACTGGAGCTATGAATTAATTATATAAAAGCATAGATCTAAAGCTACAGCAAAAACTTTATACTAAAACATACCATATAATATGTTTATTGTGCAGATCTACTCATGTGGAGTCTAACGAAAATTTCATGCTCATTGAATCATGTATGATTGAGTTATAGATTTAATTTCATTTAAAAACTATTTAACAAACATAAATATAGATAAATCTATAATTCAATCATGCATTATTCAATGAGCATAAAATTTTTGCTACAACTCAAGCATGCAATGATTAGGCCACCATAAAAATTTCACTAGATCAAAGAAACAACAGCTATGAATTAATTACAGAAAAACATAAATATGAAGTTACAAAAAAAATTTGTATTAAAGCATACCATATCATATATTCACTGTGTAGATCTACTCATGTGGAGTCCAACATAATTGAATTTTTTATTTTATGATTTTCTGTGATTTACTATGATTTTCAAAGATTCAATCGAAATAAACATAAATGAAAAAAAAGAAAATCCACCAATGGAAACAGCCATGGAGATCGAGTGACCGGTTTTGAGAGATGAGGGAGGAACTGTGTCTGGTTTTGGAGTCGAGGGAGAAAAAACTGACTTTCGCGATAATTGAGGGGGGCAAAATGGACTTTTTCTTTGAGAGAAGCCAGTTCCTTTACATGACAGCCCAAGTCCTCTTACATTCGGCCTTCAAAATAGCGCGGTCCGGCCCGGCCTGCTAGTCGATGGGCCGCTGGCCCCCTCGTCAGCAATCGTCAAGCCCATCCAACCAAACGTGCACGTGCCGTTGCGCCGCTCTGCCCCGAGTCTCCCCCAATTCCTTTTTTATTTTTAGAGAAAAACAAGAACCTTTCGAATTTTCCAAAGCAAACATTATGGAATTATTAATAACTTTCCCAGGATTTCACTTCAACGGCTAATTCAGCCCCCTGTAATAACTTATTTCTCGCTTTCCCACGACGCTTCGACTGGGACGCTCCGCCCGCCCGTTCCGACGGCGTCCCCGTCCGTCCCACTCCTTCCAAAGCGAAGTCAAAACGGAACCAAATCACACAGCGCAAGGTGGCCTGGCCTGAAGAAAGGAACACCCCAGAACGGTCGCCCTCCTCGCCCCCTGCCCCGCCGAGATGGACACGGGCTGCCTCCACCCACCACCCGCCGACCCCTCCTCGTCGGAGGCGTCGGGAGACGCCTCCTCGGCCTGCGGCTCCGCCTCCGCCTCCGCCTCCGCCTCCCAGTCCACCTCCGCCCGGCGCAGCAGGGGGGTGCGGCTCCGGCTCCGGCTGCGGCGAAGGCGGCAGGAGCCGGCCCCCGCCGCTACGCCCGGGGGCGAGGGCCAGGGTGGCGCCGGCGTGCAGGTGCAGGACGACCTCGCGCTGCCCCTCGGGATGTCGTTCGCGGCCGTCCTCGCGCAGGTGCGTGCTGCCATTCGCTCGGGCGCCCTCTCCGTAGCTTTCCCCATTTCTGGCGCTGGTGGCGAGGTGCCGACCTGTGTTTATGTCCGCATTTTGCCGTTTACCGTTTCTACCGAATTGTACGTAATTCTCTTAGCGACAATGCATAGGGTCGGTCCACACATAGGAGGCGGGCGCAATGCCAAATACCGCCGCCCTGGATCAATTTCGTTTCCTTTGGGGTTGCAAAATTGCAATTATTCCGAGCAATCGTGCATCAGATGTCAAATGTGGCAGCTTGGGGTCAGAGAAGTGGTGATAGAGCCATACCAGTAAGGCGTACCCTTTGGGGCAGGGAAATTGTCACCTTTTTTTTCATTACCGTGGGGGCCACGCGACTTTTGTTCATCTTGTATTGCAACATTTGCTATCCATTCCGAAATCAAGCATGAGATTACGTGTCATGTGTTCATCCACTCGACAATTTCACTTACATTTCTCCAGAGGCATCATCATTTCACATGAGGGCACCAGAGAAAATCCTATATTTCACCCACATGCAACTTCACCCTAGCATGATCACATGCCATGTTTTTGTACACCTAGGTTTCTGTTCAGGACAATGAGGAGATGCATTTGTTGATTGCAGGTTGTGAATACGAAGAATCCTTCAGGCGAAAGATTACAGCCTGCACTCCTTTCCAAGGTTATTGCACTAAAATTTGACTAATAAAATTTACAAAACCACAAAACCATTTGTAGTTTGAAACTGAGTCTGTACTTTGGATGCAGATCTGTACATCGGCAGTGAAGGAATCATTGAGAAATGTAAGCTTAGTTCCCTTTATCATCGCACATCTCAGCTGTAAGGATTCCTAATATATCTTTCACTTACCATTTATATAGATATATGGTAACAAGTTAGACAGTTTTATGAGAAACTTCGAGAAATCGTTCAGCAGCACATTGACAACGCTTCATCTTGTTAATGAGATGCCTATCTATGGACAAGGTCCAGTTCCTCAATGTTCTTCTAAGCATGAAGACTCTGATGCTGCAAGCAAGTTGAGCACTAGTGGTCCACAAAACCCAACGCAGGAAATCAAGCAGGACCTTTCAAATTCAGTGGAAAGTCAGCTTGTTCTGTATGCTGGTGGCAGTCAACAGCTGACTCGTCGTACTCATAGCATATCTTCTCCTGAAGCTGATCAGCGCATCCTTAATGCATTTGAGAGATCTTTGAAAGAACAAACTCGGTCAAATGAGCTCAAGGAATTTGAGATAAGTCTTAGCATGAGAAAGTTGCAACTTAAACAGTCTCAACTAGAACTTAACTCCTACTCGCACATGTTAGACAAGATTAAGTTATCCTTGGGATTTCAGAAAGCTTCCTTCCAAACGGAGAAATTCAAGACTCAGATGCAGGACACGAGGCATGCACAAATAATGAGGACGCTCATAGATTTCCTTGTTAGTGCAGTGATTATTATGTCAGTTTGCTTTGGGTACGGAACTTATACTTATTCGTACCAAAGGATAACTGATATTACAGCAGCATGTTCAGCCACTTCAAGGGTACGCTCATCATCTGTCTCTTCTTTTTCTATCAGTAATCAATGAAGAATACAATCTTAACAAACCTGTGTGGTAATCAGAAAGATTCTCTCTTGTCTCATGCAGGGATCTAAATCATGGTGGGTGCCAAATTCAGTGTCAAACTTCAATTCCGGGTTGCTCTTCATAAGATGTCATGTAATAGCTGCAACACGGATGTTCTTTGGCATAGTAATGATTCTGGCAATTGTTTGGTTAGCATTCCAGCGTTCTGCAGTGTCTGGATCAAGTATGCCAGTAACTTTCAACATCATTCTGTTGGGAGTTATTTGTGGCTTCGCTGGAAGGTTCTGTACCAACACACTTGGTGGCGATGGGAACATGTGGCTTATATGCTGGGAGGTTCTTTGTTCCATCCATTTACTTGGAAATTGTTATCCATCGGTCTTGTACCGTGTTCTTCATGGTCCTATATCTGTATCTGATAGGAAGGAGTCTGTTTGGTTCCCGTATTGGATTCGCCGCTGGATGTTTTATGCTGTGCTGGGGTTTTTTATCCCAGCCTTGAATGGCTTACTGCCATTTGCTTCTCTTTCTGATTGGAATAACCATTTCACTAAGGAGCTAAAATCCATCTTTATTGGTGAGAAAATTGAAGCCTGAATGATCGTGGATGCAACAATTGGTGCAATGATGTCCTTTTTTGAGTCAGCTGTGCAGAGAAAAAAATTGAAGCCTGAATGATCTTGGGTGCAATGAGTGCACAATGATGTCCTTTACGTGTCAGCTTTGCGGGCAAAAATTTTTGAGAAATGAAATAGCTGTGTTTGAGAAGCGATTCAGAAGTTCAGCTTGGCGTTTCCCAAGAGAATACATTGGATGGAAATTAAAGGCTCCGTTCAATAAACAAGTTGACTGTACTTCTGCAGCAGCCACTAGCATATTGATCCAACTCAATGTGCTTTAATCACTGCCTCGTACCATCCTACCACCAAAATCAAAGCTTCAGATGATCTAGGCTTTGACCTTTGTGATATTTGTGTCTATTCGACTTCAAATGGCTTTAAATGCCACGTTTTGCCCGAGGCATTTTAATTTCATGATGCAAGTTCCCCAATACAGTTTAGCGCGTAGACAGGTTCACCACCAGTTGGGAACTCTGCTGCGTCTTTCGAATTCCTTTTTGTTGTCTTTGTTGTAGCTCGATAATTTGTTTGTTCATTGTAAATATCAAGAGAGCGGTTTATCTGGTGGTGGCTGCTTACTCTATGTGGTGGTTGGTTTGTGTATGTTGTCTCCAGGCTTGAGAGAACACAGCCTGATGTTGTACTTGTTCAGTGTGTTCATGTATTGCTACTTACCAGTTTGTACATGCACTTGCATTTAAGCCCAAAAATTGTTGAAGGTTTTGATGCATATATTTCATAGTACGGGATCATATACCCAGTCCTGTACTTCTCCAGGACTGCAGTGGTTGAGCGTAGAACGGTAGAGTTTCTGTAGTAAGTAGCATAATTTAGGTTTTGACGGCACGGTACAAACTGATATAGCCTTAAGCATGCCATTGCGTGGCTAGTTGACAATAAACAGGACTGTAGCTGCTGTCATGCAACAAATGCACAGATTACAGACTTGCACTTCTTGTCACTAGGATTCTCAAGGTAAAATGTCGTTTAATTACAATCGATGTGATATTTTGGCCCTGTTCGCTTGTCTTATAATCCGTACTTTTTAGCTTGTTTTTTCAGCTGGAGCAGTGTTTTTCTCTCGCAACAAATCAGTCGGAACAATGTTTCGGCTTATTTTTTCAACGAAACGAACGGGACACAATTGATGTGATATTCACAAGGCGCCTGGATGTACACGGGAACTACTTAAGCCTTGTTTGGATGTATGTGTATCCATTCAATCTATATTTGTTGGAGTGGATTGGAATATAATTTAGTTTAATTCTACTCCAATCCATTTCAACACGTGTGGACTGAGATAAATACATGTACATCCAAACAAGACCTTGAGTTAAATGCATGCGCTTACGATATTACCAATGCAGATGCTTATGTTGATTCATCATCACTAAAACTCATTAGTAGGGGTGAAGCTAGGTTATGTAGAGTGAGGGCACATGCCACTCAAAATTTACTAGTAGTGGTAGATGACAACTTTTTACCATGAGTGCCCCACACAAATGAATCATAAGATCCTCACACACCTCCAAATATAAGACTGACTTGATAATCATATTAGTCATTTTTTTTCTCTAGGTTGGCTTGCATATAAGGCGGTGGCTATGCCGCTTCTTGAATCCATGTATGAAACTGTAATACAAAGCAAAAGCCAAATGGTTCAGGACTAGTACAGCCTTGCCAGTTCCTTGCTGCATCGATCGAATATCCGGAGCACTCCGCTTCAGCGTGTTCCTCTGATGATTTCTAGACCCGGAGCTGGATTTCTCTAACTCATGCTTTTTGTTGCATCCTGTGGACATGAGACAAAATGCTACGACGACGATTTCTGATCACCATAACATGTCCCTACTGCGTGTCTTCGGCCATCTTTTTGTCTCCTTATTACACTTCTGATCAACAGGAATATTTCCCAAAAACTTGTGTTGCTTGCAAAGTTGTGGTAAAATTCCTGTCCAAAAGATGTCAACCATGGGTTTATTCTTATGGAAAAATAAACATACAAAATTGTCACCTTTAAGCATTCAGCCTCTTCTTGCCTGATGTTCTAGTAGTCCTAACAGGAGGCCTTAGAAACACATAAAATTTATTTTCCTTGCTCTTTAGATAGGTTAGCTAGAGGGGAAAAATGAAAGGAGTGTTTTCCAGATGCACTGAAAAATAGTACATTTTCCGTTAATAAAACAACATGTGCACTAAACAACAGATTCTATTTTCCAAATGCGGTAACGAACAAAAGTGAAAAGTGTACACCATGATACACCTAGTACTGGATGAGAAAGCACATGCCTAGAGTTTTTAGCAACTTAATTAACAATAGTGCCATGACACACCATTAAGGTATTAACACTATCAAATCTCCTAATAAACTAGTATACTACTAACATAGAACTAATGAAATAAAATTAAAGATACTAGAATCATCCAGAGATGGAGGCCATGCACTCTGCGTTGTCCTCCGGCAGTCCGTCGACTAGGCCACGCAGGCCGGGCTTGAGCTCATCGTTGCAGAACTGCCGGTACTGAGTGGTGTCGCCAGCCTTCTTGCAAATCTTCACCATGACGAGCTCAGGCGTGAGTTCGAAGATCTTGGCCGAGATAAGGAGCACGCCCTGGTTCTCGTTCCTCGTCTCCTCGATGCTCACCTGGTATTCCTTGGTGCGCGCCGTGAAGCTGACGTGCCCAGCGATTTCCTCCAGCTTGGAGATGATTTTGGACACGGGCGCGGCAGACACGAACCGCATCTGCTCGCTCGGCTCCTGGAACAACCCAGACAGGTCGAGGCTCGGTGACGACGCGATGATGTCGAACGCGTTCAGACTCTTGGGGCGGCGCATGCGCGGCTGTGCTTGGACGGCGACGCTACCAGTACTCTCGAGTGTGGTCAGCGACGGCGCTGACACCGAGGTATGCATGGGGCACGCCATCAGGGAGGCCGGGTCCCCTGACGACGTAGATGACGCCATAGACTCGTCATCAGAATAAGAGTCAGAGTCTTGCAGCTCGGGCTCGCTGAGGCTCCGTGGGATCTCCTTGAAGCCCTTCTTGAACCAAAGATTTTCCTTCATCTGCGGTATGGCGATACGGCGCACCGGGTCGGGGCAGAGGATGCGGCGGACCAGGCCGACGAGGCCGGTACTGAACCACGGCGGGCAGTGGTAGTCACAGCGGCGGATCATGTGGTACAAGCTGGTGTCCTTATGATTGAAGGGGTAGCGGCCTGCCACGAGCGCGAAGAGGACGACGCCGCAGGCCCAGACGTCGGCCTTGGCGCCATCGTAGCCGCAGCGCAGGAAAACCTCGGGCGCGATGAACATGGGCGTCCCACAGATGGTGTGGAGCAACGCCTCCCGCTGCGCCGTGCCGGCGAGGGCCGAGAGCCCAAAATCGGTGACCTTGATGTTGCCCGTGGCGTCGACGAGAATGTTGTCGGGCTTGATGTCGCGGTGGTACACGCCGAGCGAGTGGCAGTAGTCGAGCGCGGACACGAGCTGCTGGAAGACACGGCGGGCCGAGGCCTCGCTGATGCCGCGGCCGGCGCGGTGGACCAGGTGGGCGTTGAGGGTGCTGCCGCCGACGAACTCCATGACGACGAAGATGCTCTTCCTGGTGGCCATGACCTCGTGGATGCGCACGATGTGGGGGTGGCGTACCCGGCGCATGATATCGATCTCGCGTATGATTTGCTGCTGCACGGCACCTAACTTGGACATGTGATCCTTGTCCATGATCTTGATGGCCACCTCCTCCCCGGTGCCTATGTTGCGCGCGTGGTACACCTTTGCAAAGCTGCCCTTGCCAAGCAGCCTGTCGAGCTCATACCGCCCCATTAGCAGGCGGGGGATTTTCCCCATGCCGCTAACGCCCGCCGGCGGCGGGAGAGAGAGCCTGTGTGTATCAAGATTCTTGTTCTATTAGGGCAGGCTAAGATGCATGAGGAAGGAAGGAGGTTAGATATGTGGGGTGGAGAGGGGACGGGAACGGGACTCGATCTCGTGTGACGTGTGACAGACTCGGACGAAGCTGGGAGTTTTGTCTTTCTAATCGCGTTTATTTAGTGTTTACACCGAAACGGAATCGTAAGCAATCGACGGCTGCCAGGCAGAAAGTCTGTGGACCGTGGCCGAACGAGATCCGCACCCGTCCGGCTCGCCGTCGGCCTGCGCTGCCGCGGCCGAGCTGCTACTCCGGCCAAATTTGACCCACCCGATCTCCACTGGCTTCCGTGACGAGCGCGACACCTTCGGTCCCAAGTCCCCAACGACAAGTACCCCTCGCCTCCATAGATAGCAGCTTTGTCCGCTCGATCTAATTTGTCGCGCGTTGCGCCTGCAGCCAAGATGATGTGGTTGAACCGATGGTTTTTGACTATTGTGTTCTGTTTCGAGCAGGCTGTGGGGCGCGCAGATGCAGGAGGTCGCTGCAGAACTTCGACATTGGTGGGGAGCGTGAGAGGATGCCCGTGCCCATCATCCGCGCCTTTGGCGCACACAAAAAAGTGCACAGGTACAAAGTGAAACCGTTTTTTTTTCTGTGCGTTTTTCTTTCAGGCTTTCCAAGCCACCATTCAGATTTTATATTTGTCCCCAAGCGTAAATTTATGATTGCATAATATGCATATCTACGTTTCAAGTTTTCTTAAAGAGTAACTGCACGGTTGAACGTGATCCATATAGTATCCCTATTAGCTAGGTATAAATGTTTCGTATCTGTAGCACAAGTCCAAATGAATCAGTAATATTTATATGGGTTTTGGAGAGTAGAAGAGATTATATCCAAGCATGTTCACATGGACAGAAAAGCTGATAGAGTTTTTTTTCCCCAAAACTTTAAAATAGCAGGCTTGTTAGAATTGCTGATAGGTTTATATCATCAAACCTGACAACTTTTATTAAAGGGAGGTTTATGTTAGAGTTAGAAATTGGCACGTTCCAGCCAATGCATGCATGTATCATGGTGCACTGGAGTTGCCTGAAGTACATTCTTCATTTGGGTGTTCCCGTTTTGTTGAGTTTAGATATATTTGCTCCTTATAATGGTACATTAAGGGTTTATATATGTGTCTGCCAACCAGCTTCCTTTTTTATATGCAAAATAATAAGTGGCAACAAGTGATGAACAATTGATAAGAAGCTTGATTTCTTATTCCTCTAATTTTTTTATCCCTCTCGGTGCCATGGTTGTGCCTATACTGACTGAGGCGTCATCCATCGGATTTTCCAGAACCCCTTCTCTCTGAATCCAAAGATTTAGGAAATTGTTGGCATGTGCTTTCCCCTTTTTAAATTGTGGGTGACCTTGTTGAATTCATGTTGCTGTTTCTTGGCTTAGACGCAAGAGACTTCTCCAGAGAAGCAGAGCAGCTACTGATGCTGGTGGTTGTTCCTCAAGGTGTGTCAACTGCCTGAAAAGCACTTTGTTTTCAACTAAATTGTGTCTTGGAATGGTTTCAGTAGCTGAAATCAGAAATGTATCTGTTTTGCTTTCCAACATGTTGCGGGTACATAAGGAGCAGATCGGTGATCTGTCCAACAATCTCAGTGTGGCCTGTAGGTATATTTTTCTACTAGGAAATTATTCTGAAACTATTTTGGGGGAAAAGCAAAATCTTCTTATATATGGAAGTGCCAAACAAAATACATCAACAACCAATACTAAAACTGTTGTACATAATCTCAAACCTGGTCTTACCCATGCATCAGTGACTACCCATTTTTCTTTTGTTTTAATGCAAAATCCTGAAGTTTGTTCAGGCTACTAATTAATGAATATAATTATGATATCTTTGCCATTTGCATTTTTTCCTGCTATTTTGCTATGATTGACAGTGTGCTCCATTATTTTATTAAGCCTTCATGACTTCACATTCTGGTAATAGTGACTATTATGCCTTTTAATTTAAATCTTGTCAATGCATTTTTTTACACCAGTGTGCTTCATTATTTTATTAAGCCTTCATGACTTCACATTCTGGTAATAGTGACTATTGTGGCTTTTAATTTAAATCTTGTCAATTCAATTTTTTTTACAGCAGTTATTTGTATTGTCAAATGTATGCTGTTGCAGCCACTATTATTTTGCCGCCACTTTCAACTCTCTGCTCCTCTCAGTATGTTTCTCTGTTATTTACCACTTTCAAATATGGGATTTTGATGTTAGTAGCAACACTTCTAAATATTTCTAATATCAAGATGCTGGCTTCCTTCGTATGATTCATCTTTGATTTCTAAAACTATAATGGAGCATAGAAAGATTTAAGAGGGAAAGCCGCTGCAAGGACCCCGAGAGAGCACAATGTTCCCTTCCTCGAAGAAGCAGCCCAACACTGGTGCTGTGAGCTCAAATGATCAGCCTCTGTGTGGGCAAGGCAACCCGGGTGTGGCCTCGTCCTCACCAGCTGATGCTAAGCCGTGTCTGCTGGATCGCTGAGCTCCACGACCGCTTCATCAATGCCATTGCCCAGCTCAGAGGCCTGGATAATATGTAATATAGATGCTTCGTCCATTGCTTGGAATTTTAGTGGTTTAGTTTTCATTTGCTTTTATTCCTTTCTTTCGTATATAGGCAACTCCAAAGACTATCACGAGGGTTGCGGCAATCAAGGGCCTCACCTAATAGTTCTACCTCCTCAAGACTCAAGAGTTACCTTCAGGTATGTACCTGCATGATCCAATATCCAAGGTTGAAACTAAGTTGGAATTATTCTTTCTTTAAATTGAGCAGCATCTCGCAATGCCAGAAATTTCGTCCAGGGAAACAAAACAAGTAGTTCAGTGACCATACATGTTAGGATACAAACTATTGTGCAGCTTGTAAATGTAAGAAATTGTGTCTATTTATTGCTCGCGAGATATATTGTGTGTTCAATGCTTAGGAAGATGAAGGTGGCTGAGGCGATTTCCTTCTCGGTATCAGCTTTGTTGCTCCTATCTGTTCTACACTGTCGAGAATTGTCTCCCTTCAGTGGATCATTGTGCTTAATGTATTTTCAAGAATTTTTTTGTGTTTTGTTATATATGGTGTCATGCTTTATTGTACTACTTTAGTTTAATGTTTTGCTCCTGTTGTAACCTATGGATATAAACCTTGGCAGATGAAAAAGAATGATATGTCTTGGTTCCAATTTGGTTTAGGTTTCGGGGATGACAAAATCATTTATCTTCATGAAAACTCGTAATATTGATGATTGACTAAACAAAATCTTGTGAACTTCACGCTTAAAGTACCATTTTTGTTGGAATAGTCATACATTAGGATGACATTTTTTGGAATAGTACAACACGCAGTGATAAGAATTGTCCCGTTGCAGCATACGGGCATGATCCTAGTTAACCCATTAGATTTTGAGATGGAATCTTTATTGATACGCTATATATATTGCCGTTTGTGTTGAGTTAAATGTTGCACTTTTTCCTGGCTGGGTTGAGAGGCACACATCCTTTGACATTCGAAACAAATACTAACGAGTAACCTATTCATATATTTCTCAATTGGACAAGGAAAGTTCCTGAAGAGGATCTGCACTGGATATCACTATTATTCCAATCCAAAAGGTAATAATAATCACCCACAAAATAAAATCCATATACAACTGTTAAAATTGTTTTTAACAGTTCTTTTTAGCTCTGTTTCAGTCTTCCCTTCTAGGCACCATCCTTTGCAACACCCGATTATCATCTCAAGCACAAATCTGTCAAAGCTTGTTCTGTTTGAAGTCGAAAAAGCAAGAGTCACAGCACGAGATGGAAAAGTGCAGTGCACAAGAGCCAGAACGTTTCTGGCACACGACACTTTCGCTCTGAGTGCTCCAATTTGTTGAAGACAACTAACTCCAATTTGTAAAGCCCTGGAGGCAGTTCCACGGTATATTCAACCGCAAATTTTAAAGCACAGATGCAGTCCCATGATACAATCATACAACTGAAAGACAGTGAATACAACAGAAATAACTGCGAAAGCAAACTGGAAGAGAAAAACTTCACCTGCCACAGCATAACATGAGTTTTGCGAAACCATCATAGAGACATGGCTTTAAGAAAGTAAACTTGCCGGGCCATGATTCAAGACAGTAGAACATAACTCAGCAAATTACAAGTTTTACATTCTCACACATGTTGCGTTAACATTGAGGAATGTTAATTTTATTGAAATAATGCTAACCAGACAAGTATTGCCAGTAAAATTTATCTCGAGCACACAAGGTAGGCATACTGAGCATTGACAAATCTAGAAATCCTTCATCTGCTGTCTTGAATCTCTATAACAGCCTGAGTGCTCTTAATCTTGTGACTTGTGAGCACTACTGCACTAGTACAGCCTTCAAAAGTCAAAACCAACTACAAAGAATCCCATCCTCGAGAAAAGCTATACCAGAGATGTAGCCAGTTCCATCCTACTATGAGGGTAAAAACTGCAAGCGAGCACCAGGTTATTTGAGGACTGCTAGTTACAAACCTTATGAATATGGTGTCGAACCACACTAGCAATTTGATAAAATATTACTCTCACTAAACTTGATCAGATAATAAGCAAACTGTACATTTCCAAGGGATGTAGCTCCGAGGACAGTTAATAGAGCTAAGTCCTAAGGAGTACCATCTCCTATTCGTATTCTAACGGGCAAGGGCCTCGCAATCAGACCATCCATAACCCAGCCACCATCAGAACCATCATGTTTGACATGGCTGAATTCCCTCTGAGCATAATCCAGGGATACTTCAAGCCTTCCACCAGGTCTACACTCTGAGGCAACATTACTTGGTTTGAAACCCATATACCTTTCTAGCCAATACAGATAGCTAACATGGAACAAAGATTTGAGCATGTCTTCTGGAGAAGATCCCTCTTTAAGTAC